CAGCAGCAGCAAAGTCGCAGCACAAAATAGCAGGCGTCAGATTTCTGTTATCGTGTGACAAAAGTTAAGGAGCACCTATTACACTTTACCTCCTTCCGGAGTTGACCCACAGGACGATGTTAGAGGATTTGGTGTCAAAGCAAAAGGGCCTTTTTGATAATATTTCGGATTTAAACCCAATGCTAATAGGGAACCTGATAATGAGGCAATCTGTAAACTGATGAAGGTGGCAGTATCTGGAGGAAACATCTTCAATCTAAACACACACCTTCCAGAGCACCACCACCCCTGGATTCCACCAGGAGCAGCTGCGCCGCTTTCTAGCTGCGTCGCTTTCTAGCTGCGCCGCTTTCTAGCTGCGACTCGGCCACTGGAGTTAATAGCGCCACAGTGCATTTCAGAAGCAGGCTCTCTGTTACGCTAAAATTACGCACCGACAGCGAAAGCTTGAGCCCAGACACACAGTCATCACTCTACAGACACTGAGCGTATTCAACAAATATCTTTTATTATAAAATGTGAAATCTGTCTCTCGCTGCTCCTGAAACTGTTCATGCAGATTCGTTCACCATAACATCAGGAGATCATCTCTCGCCTAGACTACTGCAACTCGTTCTGGCTGGTGCGCCTGCATGTGCCATCTGACCTCTCAACAGCCTGGCTGGTCTTCAACCTACCCAAGTTCTGCCACACTACACGGCTCCACCACACCCTGCACTGGCTACCGGCGGCTGTTTGAATATGATTCAAGACACTGGTACTGGCCTACCGTGCTGAGAATGTCTCAGACACATCCTCCATCCAAGACATGGTCAAACCACACACCCCAGCCCGTCCACCACTCTCTCTACTACGGCTTGATACTCTCCCAATATGAGATGGGCCTGGCTACCGCTCAACTTAGTCACAACTGCTTGCTGTCCTGTACTCTACAGAATTCAGAAATACATTTCTGTTGCAGACTGAATACTCATCTGCTCAGACTGCAAATTATAAAAAACAATTTCTCTATATTTTATTGTTTTTAAGTAGCACTTGAAGTATACAGTATATTTGATAAAGTTGATGTACTTGCATGATTCTTGCAATTTTTGGGTTCATCCACACAAACTTATTGGAATTTGCTTTGAATAAAAGCATCAGCTAAATAGATGCAATGTAACTACATGCCAAACTTAACAAAGAGACAAACCCTAAAGTCAAGACTACTACAAAAAGTGGAACTTTTTCAGCAAACAGACTGCATTTCCTGTAGCTGTTTCACAAAACAAAAAGTATTCCAGTAGATCTAGTGGAAAGTTATTAATGGTAAAAATTGCTTAATAGCAACTCCTTTCACTACAACTTGACAACAAAGCAACAGGGAGTCTGCTATATGTTAGATGGACGTCAATGGAACAGTGGGAGTGTACCAAAACTCCAAACCACAGAGAAAACTTTGTTAGATAGGTGATACAAATGATACTGAAGCTGGACGCTCAGTTGACAGTTTATTAGGTACACCTGATACAACAGTCCTGCAATACATCCTCCCTTCATGAAGGTTAGAAGGTTTCGTCTTTGTTGAAACTGTTTGAGTGGTGTAGATTAAATGTATGTTTTGGAGGCTGTAGTTTGTGATGCTGTTGAGTTGTATTATGTTAGTGTCAACCCCACTTATGTCAATAAGTGTAGCGTAACTCACCTACCCTTTTCTCTGTATAAAGCAATATGGCCATACAGTCTGACAGCAGGTATAAATGGCTGCATTTACATCATGCATTTATCCTAATGTGCTACCCATTCACAGACAAACACTCACACAAGCACTCAGCCAGTTGCCATGTAAGTAGCTCCTGGCCTGGCCATGGGGGGCAATTTGGGGGTCTGGAATCACCAGCCCACAATCGACTCAGCTGTGTTACACATCCTGGTAAAAAGTAATTTTCAATAATCTCAGAGTGAATTTGGATTTGTTTTTCAGCATTATTCTTCAGTTGTACAATGTAAATGTAAATTGTATTCAAACACCATCACCTCCGTTTGTGCTGCCTCATTGGCATTGAACTCCCTTCTAACTCTGCCTTTCTTCCCACCAAAGTTGGAAACACAAATTGAACTACAACTAGAACCATCACAGATATATGCAATGATAATACTATATTATGATTATAATATGGTATGGTAAGGTGCTGCATTGGAATTAATATAGATATTTACTATACATTTAATATATATATATATATACACACAAGTAATACAGGTACATGTAGGTATATGTACTAATAACACAGAGGTGTCAAGTATGGTTATACTACAGATATTACTACTAATACCGCGTAAATAGTGTTCCTATTTGAAGTAAATGGTCTACAACGTATGAAACACAGGAGTAGTTTAGTTACAGCAATGTCATGTGACACTGTTACACAGTTTGTATTTTAATTCTGATACATTTGTAATGATGAGCATGCAGAAGTGATCTTATATCCCTGAGCAGGGTCACCCAGCTAAACCCTGCAGCCGCTAGGTCAGACATGTCTTTTCAAGGTGATCACATGGAAGCCTCCATGACACAGAACTCCCCATCCTACTGCTGCCACAACGGGAATATTTTAGAAAAGGCTACCAGAGGTGGTTCATTCAGAATCTGTAATGCCCCAAAGCTTTCTCACATACCCCCTTACATAGAATGCCTTTTCCTTATTGCAACAGAGACATTTGTAGAATTGTAGCTCTTGCCCTAACCTAACCATGTTTTAAAATGAAAACACATGAACACAAAATTAAACTGTGCTGCCTCAACACAGGAGAACTTCAGCAGAGAAAAACAAAAAATACACACGATATCTGCCATCACACATTCTCATATTGTATATTATTATTGAAAATTCACACAAAACTAAAATTTCATACATGGAGAATTATCTGATCAGATAAGATAAGATCTGCTCTTATTATTATTATTATTATTATTATTATTAAAAAAACTACAACATCTATTTGAAGTACGACAGTAGCCACTGCCTCATTGTGGTTGTGGAAAGGGAAGATATATCTGCATTACAGTAATTGAATTCAAAATGTTCTGTAACATTAAAGCATGATCGTTAGAGGAATCCATCCTCAAGCCTTTCACTGTTGAAATGAAAGTTTATTACAAGCACTTGTCTCTGAAGTGATTCATATATTTCCAACAGAATAAATTAGTGCAAATGAATATGTTGATGTCAGCCAACTATTTTGCACATGTTAATAAACTTTTTAAACTCAGGTTCACAGCAGCAGGATTGTAGTGCATATGACACATTTCTGTCTAATCACAGCTGCTAGAGACTTCTGATGTCAGGACAGGAAGTACAAATGCTTTAGATACAGAGCATTTCTATGACAAGAACCCGGGCAGAAGGAGGAGGCTTTTTAAAAGAACTACATCAATTATATTGCCTTCATAACAACAGTTGCAGCATATTTTAATGTGTCACTATCAAAACATTTAAATTCTTTCAAATGTTAAATGGAATTACTTAATTTTCCATAAAATTATCTTGTTAAGAATGTTCAAATTTTAAGAAACTCAGCAAGCATTTAAAAAGGTATAAACATTTCATTTCCTGGACAGTTGATGAGCAGTGAATTGGACAAATGCATGCAGGACTTTGCAGATCACATCCTCCCTTTTTTCATGTCAACATTATTCCCTCCATCTTTTCTAACATTAAATATATAGAAAATTACATTTTAGCCTAAACGTAAACCAGCAATCAGTCTCAGGTGAAGCCAACAGCAAACATCTGACATCTGTCTCTTGCTGTCTTTTTTTAAATTTACATTAGCATTATACATCAGGCCTCTAATATATTCATGAATAAAAACGCGTGCAATCAGCAGCCACACTGATATCAGTAACACTTCGGTCTATACAAGACCAGAGTCCAAATAATGTTACAGTTACAGAACAATGGCAGACTAATTCCATATCAGATGTCTGGTTTAAGGTTTAAGGTATAGGACAGGTGCAGAGACTTGAGCCAACACTGACAACACACTTCCTCTCAGGAACTGTTTCAACAGCAGCTTTCAAACCACCGACATCAATACACGGGCTGCTTCCACTCAACAACAAATCTGCCGTGGAAGAAGCTTCTGATCTCACAACTGTTCCAGCGTTCAGAGCCACCAGCTATAGTGTTGAACATGACAGGCTCCTCCTGCACGCTGTAGCTTTAGGACCAGCTCTTGTAAATTCGAAATACTAATGTGCTCAGTGCAACCTGCCACAGCAGTCAAACTGAGCACAAGTTGACTTTTGGTCTTACAAGATGCACGCTGCACAACCAAATATCAAGCATTGCATAATTACTTTGCCTTTAGTTCTCCCTCCATTTTGCTACTTTATTGACAAGCAATCGAGCCGCTTCTTGTTTTGAAGCCTTACAGCGGGCGATAGCCGACCTGCCATCCGCATGACACCGTGATCAATACATGCAGTTAAGAGCTATAGCGTAACCTGAAAGACTATGTCACTACAGCCGCTACGTGGTCGTACATCGTGTTTTGGAGAGGAGATGATTGAATCGATAAGGATATGTTGGCACTGTGTGTATGGGGCAAAATTAAATGTGAATGCAAATAGCAGGGAAAATGACATTATTGCTGAATCCAAGTGCGCCTGCTCCAGTCGGTGCTCATTGCACTGCCGTTGTTATTATATTAAAAATATCTATATACTAAGCGAGGAGGCTCTGTCCAACTTAACTTAACTTAACTTTCCTATTCTACTGTTTCCTGTAGTCTTTAAAGTTCGTGGACACGTACCGTGACACAATATCACCGGTGACATAATGTAATGTTATTTAAAATCAAAACGTGTGCCTTCCCTTGTTTTCTCTGTGGTCCCAAAGTGGGTACTGATTGACACAAACTTTTTCCCCAGCTCACCCCGCTCTCATAATTTAAATAACCCCGATATTTTAATTCAAGAACTGAGTAACCGTTGACTTAATTTACACCAAACTTACCCCAGTCGCTTTGACATCCTTTCTGTTGGGTTTTTCTTCACTTTCAACTATTTTCCGAATTTTTAATAATTTTTTTCTCATATTTTTTGCTAGACGCGGCGGGCCTGAAAATTGTTTGCTTTCCTCTCTTTCGAGCAGCCATTGTGTGTATGCGCTGCGATGCAACCGCACTATGATTTAGCCACGCCCATTTGAAGTCCCGCCTACTTGGGTTTTTTGATTTGTGTAAGGCGCTGCCAGTTCCACTTCAATGTATCCTACAGTCCTGTTCAGTGAAACTCCGTTTTTTGACTTGCTCGATGTACTGTCAATCGTTTAAATTTGGTTTAGCACAATTTAAAACGATAGGAAAACAAACATGTCGGCCGAGTAATTCTATTGGCTCTCTTTATTGTCAGTCTGCGTTTTTAGGGTTCAGGGGTTCCTATTGGCTGATGTTGTCGTCAGTTACCGGTGACGGTGTAGCTGATTTTCCTGGTGCGCTGTTGCAACAACGAGAGTGGAGTTGTCTCGAGCATGACGGAGAGGTTATATACCGTGTAGCTTCATTAGGTAGCCACATGTATGCTAGAGTATTGTTGTTCAATAGCCTTTTGCTAGCAGCCCAATGGGACATCAATGACAGCACGATCTTTGAATAGCCGTTATTAGCATTTGTTTTGGTCTTATCAAAACCTGGATAATCTTCACTGCTGTGTTGATATCAGGCGCATTCAGCAGTCATTACGCTACACTCGCGCTGGATCAAAGTGTGTAGCCTGTTTGTATAAGGTAGGTAGGTATCAACTGTGTCACGTTTGTCATTCCGTCTAAATGAAAAGCTGCTACAAAGTGTCCTGTTAGCTGTTTGGTAATATCAGTGAAGGTCAACGTGTTACACTGTAGCAGGGTTACATATAGTGGAGGACATCGTCCAGATCAGTAACACGTGTTGTTGTTAAGTTTACACCACGGGTCGATACGACTAACGATATTTTCCACTAAAGAAAGAGACATTCTTCAATTCGGGATACATTTCGCATTACATTTCGGGATACAGTCGCCGAATTTATTTCGATATTAATTATAAATATTATCCATTTCATTATCATTTCAACTTCACTTTCATACTCTCCTTAAACACAATCTGGTTAGTAATAGCAAAGGCGTAAAAATAAGCTGAAAGTAAAACGGTAAAATGTGACTGTGGCTCTGTGGAGCAGCTAGGCCTTATGAATAGGATGTTTCATAATATTTGGATAATAATTTTCAGCTGAATATTTAGATGATTCTGAAAATGTGGATGAGGTCTTTACATCTGATGGTATCTCGTATGTATTTGAGTCAGAGTATACGGATGAAGAGCCTTCACACTGTGTTGGTATTTTAGTGGTTTCAACCAACATTAGCTGTCACCGTCACCTAAAACCAGTTCATTAGAAATTAGATTGTAGTGCTGCAAATCAATGAATCAAACGTAATCATGTGGAAATAAGGAAGTATGAAGATTCTGTATCAGCTGCACAATATACGTTCTTCTAATTGACACATGTTTACTCTAACATTCTCCAAAAAACCAGAAGGCCTATGTAGAAACTCACAGGAAGATACATTTGCTCTCTTCCTGTTTTCAACATTAATCTTACACAAGCCTCCAAAGACAAATCGCATATGTTTTGACGTTGTAATGAAAAACTAGACAAATATGCATTCATGAGCACAGCTACGTATTTTCTTGTATTTTCTTGCTAGGTGTCCTAACTACAACATCCACGCATTCAGCTGACAGTTACCAGTTAACAAGGTCGACCAGTGTTGCCCGGTGCACTGGGTGCTACCACCGACTAGTGGTATATAGGCTCTATTGCTCCTGAGCCACAGATGAGAGGCCGGCTGAGTTGTAACTAGTGGTGCAACGGATCATAAACTCAAGGTTCGGATCGGATCTCGGATCAGACTCATGGATCGGTTTCACGGATTGAAATGGCACAAAAGAAAAAAGGAGCAAATACATCTTTTAGAGATCCCCTATCAAGTTTTTTTTTTGCCGTCAATACTAATTGCCGATCATTGATGATCAATACTCAACAATCTATGTTTTATCCATTAATAGGCTAGCTGCACTTTTCACTCTCCCAAATTCCAAATAATGTCCCTCCCAGTTCCCCAGAGTCCAAGTCTTCAGAATCTTGTGTTGTCCAACCAGAGAGAGTCGCTTCACTGTGAGCTAAAACAGGGTAAAGCAGGACATCCTCACCTTGGACAAACAGACACTAGCGAATATTTTGAACTTTTCCTTTATAAGTGATTTAGACAGTTACTCTAGTTCTACAAGTTGATGACCATTCATTTTCTGTAGAATGACTAATTGATTAATCGATCCCAAATTAAATAGCAAGTTTGTTATTTCTCCTTATCATCAATAAAATGATAAATTGACTGGTGTTGGTGTTCGCATTGGTAGTGGTGCATCAGAAAATGGTTTCTATGAATTGATTTCAGCCTCTAGCTTCTAAAGATACATGTCATGTTTAGAATGCAAAATTACAATATTACAGTAGGTTCACCTATTTGAAAGTTGCCTTCGTAACAACATATCTGCTGATTTTATTAAATATAAAATGAACTGAGCTGTAGAAATCAGTTACATGTGATGACTACTTGTAATAATTTCACTCACACACAGAAGAGACCATGTGCAATAACTGAACCTGTTTTCTATGTCTATCTTTACACAGGTCCGAATGGATAAAACTGTACGGAAAGTTCGGAATCAGGATAGCAACCCATGCATCGAAGTAAGCTCACCGGCCCTTTACATCCTGCACGCTGTCAAACATCTGTCTGCTGCAGGGATGGGACAGTGTCCATTATGCTGCGTTCACACCAAACGCCAAGTTACTCTCGGGATCATTTGTGTTTATTTGTCGTTCGCGCTAGATGTGCCGGAGAGGAGAAGTGGCTTATCTCCATGGAAACCATTATTAAGCCATTTATTTCCACCATCAACCATGGAATGCTTAGTACTTGTTGTGGAAGTCCCAGATATCCCGGGAAACAAAACGCCTTTCATAACATCATCCAGAGCAGCTCCGTGGATTTCATCGAGCTGTATTCACTGTCTAGCCAGCCACATGTCGGCTGTTTACTACAGCTGTATGAACACAAAATAAACTGATGTTGCCGTGATTTAACTGCAATAAACCAACAAAAAGGGATGCCGAAATAACTACGTAATGATGCAGATTTATAAAAAGTCTGAATTCATGTTTTGTTAGTTCTCTCCGCAAGATGACAAGCAAATAACTTAAAATACTTGTTTTCTCAATGCTCAATGCTAGGCTATGCTAACATTGTAGCAGCTCCATCAACTCTCAACATAATGTCATCTAGACGCAAATACGGCAGCGTCTTTTTCATTGTTCGTACCATATGGTTTACACACATATAGTTTGGTCCGGTCTCTACTAGTATGAGATATCGTAGAGCGCTGGGTGAACACCTACAACTACAATATTTGTTTCCTCCATTTCTGATTCAACAACATCAGGACGTCAGTTGAGAAAGTTCAGATTTCGCATCCATTCGCGTCTTTGCATTGACTTTGTATGTAATCTCGTCGCGCAGAAAATTTGTGTCACAATTGGTGTAAACACAGCACAAGTGTCTCATTCTGTTCTGTTGGTGGACCATCTTCTCTTTCAGGAAAGTGATGCCTCCCAGAAGTGTTTGGGGGCCTACAACTATGATTCCAGAATGTGCTCAGCTTATTTCCAGAGATATAAGAGCTGTCGGAAATACTGGGTGAGTGTATGTCTCCAGCGTCAAAGACAACAAACTGAAGAATCAAGAGTTGATAAAAAGCGGAGCGTTGTATTTGTGCTTGTACTAGTAAGCCATGACTGTAAGCACATTTGAATTGTAAAAGACATGGACTAACTCAAACCTCAAATCAAATTTCGCTCAATATTTCATCAAGAGAGGGCTGAACTGCCTCGTGGTCAGCTGTGGAGCAGCTGGTGAATTTATCATCATCTGTAAAATAACGTCAACTAACGTTAAAGAACTGCAGAACAGGTGGGCGTCATTAGTTTTCAATAATCTTCTAATACTCTGCAGATATCACCAAGTACAAAATGAGCTTTCATGAAGTGTTTGTGAGTAAAATCACACACAACTGTATTTATTAATTAATGATTTATTCCATAGGGAGAGATACATGCACACAGACAAACTGTAAACAGCACATTGCTGATTTGAACAGCAAAACCTGTCAACCGTGAAGGACACATTGTGGCCCCAGTGTTTTGTTACATTTAAAAAAAAATTAAAAAAAAATTTGCAAGTGCCTTCATCATTTCAAGTGTTGATTGTAAAAAGAAGTATCAGAGCTCACTGGAGAGTCACTCACAGACCTTCTCCAGTCACCTCACCTGGCACATCTTCACCACCTGTACATAGAGATGCTGTCAATTACCAAATTGAGAGATGACAGAGAGTGACCGATCTCTCACAAACACCTTTTCTTAGTCTTCCTCTCGGTGGTCTCTGTGATTCACCGTAGAGACCCACTGATCAGCAACTCATTTCTATGCATCAACATTCATAAGGTGCTTTGTATTGAGCATATATGGTGTGTAGAGGGCGGGATGTGAGGCTGAGCCAGCTGCACACATTTACAGGTTGATACAGGAAATAGCTCACTGGCAGGCATACTCCAGGTTTTATAAATCTGAATATTTTTTTCCTCCTTTGAACGTACGCAAACATTTAGTGTGGATCCTACACTCTGTTTTGTATACGAGACCCCTGTTCATGGGTGGGAAGACAGCACAGGTTGTCCTTGATGCTGCAGTAGCGACACCCTCTGGTTGGTCAGAGCGCTGGCACAGTGAGGGACAGAAGGGAGTGAGAAGGAGCCGCTCACGGCACCGTGACTCATGAAGGTGTCACATGTTTGTCATCAGGTAGAGAACAGAAGAAAGTCCTCTAATGTTATTTAATTTAAAAAAGGGAAAAAGAGTCAAGTATTTGCTGTCCTTCTGAATTTACCAAAAGGTTTAGGCACCCCCCCTTAAAAAGAATAATCACAATTGAAGCAATAGAGGCCGAGATATCTCGACTTTTAAACCTCTTTGTTACATCATTTTGACACAATTTTATATGCAACCTTTCTGAAACCCTGTTAGCACGACTCGAGTCTGAACTGAATGCTGTCGCAGCAGAACACACGCTTCAGTATGCAGAGTCACAACATTAAATGCACGTCTTGTAATAAATCTATCCATTAATTAACATTTGTTATGGACACAATATCTAATCAGTTTGAGCCAATTATTAGTTGTAGAGGAGATTCTTCTTAGATTTCAGATCAGTTTATACAAATATTTTTTCGTAAGAGGTTTTGTTGTTTTCTTTCATGCCAACTGTGATGATTGTGGTCCTATATGGAACACAACTGTATCTTTCAGAGTTTCTACTAATAATGCACAATGTCTAATAAGGTACAGTTAGTCATATGTTGCTAAGCATTTTGTGTTTGCCTCCTTCAGCACAGCATAATGCAACAGAGGAGAAGAGACGGTGTGCGACCCGACATGCCCACTGCTGCAGAGAGGCAAGAGATGCTCGCTGCTATCGGAGGCAAACCATACTGAGAGTCAGCAAGGTAACGCAGAGACATGGCGAGGACATTTACTACACGCCGACACACTGTGGAGACACCACTACAATGCTTTGGCTGGTTACACTGACTCGAGGCCTGACCTGTCCTCAAACTCAGGTCGTGTGGAAGTGACCATCTGTAACTGGTCTATAATAAAATGACAAGAAAAGGATATTGTGTTGTCAATATACAGTTGTGCTCTTGGGTGTCCACTTGTTAAGGACCTTGACTATTCATGATGAAGTCTGCACAAAACAGGATCTCAGTTGTACAGGATGTTTTCCTTCAAACAAAAGCTCTTAACTCATTTCATGTAGTGTCAGTCCAATGATCATAAACCTCAATAAACAATAACATGAAACTGTTTCTAAAGCCACCTGTGTGATGGGCATCTATCATCTGTCTAACCTTAATACACTGGGAGTATTGTATCTACATGATTGTTTTACTGATTTGATTAGTTTGATTTCATTCTGTTTTTGTCCTTATTTCTTGTGTTGTGTTTTTTGTAGTCCTGTATCATTCTAAGCTGTCAGGTCTCAGGTCTGGCTTGTGTTGTCTCTTGATTGTGATGGGCCAGTTGAACAGAGATTTTACAAACCAGCGCCTTCAAAATGTATCGCAGTATTCTCCTTTAATAATTAGTTTTTGAAAGAATAAATTATTAGATATTGTTACTGTGTATATCATTACTTGTATTGTCTTTATGTATGTATAATGTATATGTATAACTGTCAAGTGTTAATGATCATAATTGTATGAGAGATAAGAGAAGCCTGACCACAGCACTCCAATCCTCAAAGGAAAGAAACAGGCTCTTATTATGTATTTTGTGCTTTTATTGATATTATAAGAGATAACATCATACACCTTGGCTACATTTTTGAGATATGGCGATCTGAAAGCTTGTTATAGAGTCATGATATCCAAAGCCAGAGTGAACAATAATCAGATGATCGACAATTTTACTGATTCCATTTGCTGTTTGTTTGGACGTTATGTCACAAACCGGGCCGCACGGCCATGACATACGAGTGAGACACACACAACCAAGCAAACTAACTAGTTATTTATTCACTTAAAGGCAACATAACAGGCAAACATAAACAGTGGCGTGTGAAGTCAGCAATTTCAGCAGTGTGGGTGAGTGCATGAGTGGAACATGTGTATGCAATGTTAAGTACATAAAGACATCATCCCCAAATAACACAATGTGCACTGCTTGAGCCAAGGGCTCAATGGAAATCATTAAGAGACAGGGGGACAGACAGCACCCAATTATATTTCAATCAGGAGAGACAAGTCAGATGTAGAAAAGATAAGTTTATTATAAACGGATGATATGTGATGATGAAGTCTTGACAGAGTCTTTGGCGCTTGGCCTCTACAGGGAGATTTGTAATGGAGGGGTGTCCGCCCTGAGCAGCAGAAGATAAATCCTCCAAAAGGAAAAAAATAAACCACAGCCTAATATTCCCCCAAAAGAATGTTTATTTACCAAATGGCAATGAAACTGGTCATGAATGATCGATGAAGATGGCATAAGCTGCTAAGAGATGAGGCATAACAAGGAGCATGAAAGAAATGTGAGGTGAAGAGATTAGAATCAACGATTTACCATTAATAAGTAAACATGAACAAAAGCGCTGCAATGACTAGGTCAGCACTGACCAGAGCAACTGCGAGATCTACTTTTTTTTTTAGCTTAGCCAGCAATGGCTAACGGTCAGCAGTGACCTGAATAGCAACAGTCTGAGTTTAGACTACGTGGCTCGTGGACTGGAATAACAGGCATGAAATTATATAGATTTTGCCAAGCAGTAAGTCTCCATTACATGACACTTTTAATGAATCATACATCACTCATAAGACACTGAATAGATTTAACCAAAAGAGGTCAGCAGTGACCTGAGAGTTAGCAATGCGATGGATCTGACACCACTTCGATATACGATGTACATGTCAATCAGAATACGATGATTGTGAGCAATTACAGAAGCAACGAAAATGTAGCAGATAGCCTATGATAAAATTATGAGAATACAAGACTATATGAACGACTTGTAAAAATAAAATGGATATGATGCTACTTTACAGATACAACGATATAACACCACTTACCCGATATGATTTATATGACGCCACATATCAGAAGACAATTAATACGGGAAATTAGTAGAATATTATGAAAAAGGAACAATTGCAGAATACACATAAGTAGTTATTAGCAAAATACAATGGTTTTAAGTAAATGACAAAATAGATGAATATGTAGTAATCGAATACCTGGATGTGAAGAAGTAGCTGAACACATGAGTATTAGTGATTAGCTGAATTATATATTAATCAGATCTGATGAGTTATCTTTTACAGTGAGCAGTAAAATAGCCATTGAGCCAACACGCCACCACCAGTTATATGCATGTATTGAGAATGTGGCCAGGCATGATTTTGGAATAATTTAGATGCTTAATAATCTTAGCAGATTATGATAGCAGGCAACAAAATGAAAGTAATAGCAAAAGCTCCAACACCAGTTAAAACATGACTTACGAGGGATTTAAGGCACACTTAAAGAAGTATGGGCAGAGTCTTAACAATCAATTTATCTATACTTATTGTATAGAGCAGGTCCAGGGGGAACTCTATATGGACCTGACATGAATGTTAGATAGTCCTGATGGGCAGGTACCTTGCATGTTAGCCCCTGTCATCAGTGAATGGGTGAATGATGACATGTAGTGTCAGTTGTAGTGTAGGTTGGGAGACTAGAAAAGCTCTATACAAGTACAGTCCATTTACCATTTAATAACACCCCAATACTGCAACGTATGTGATTCCACTGCTAACAGATCCCCAATGCTGCTGCTGCATTTCAATCAGGAGAGACAAGTGAATGATTAGTAGTTAATATTTATTAAGACAGATGCTGTGTTAATGAGTTACACAGAAATTCTTTGGCTCTTGAACTCAACGAGGAGATTTGTCATCGAGTTGTGATTGTCCTGAGCAGCAACAATATAAATCCCCCCGTGGAGGCCAGACACTGGTGGTGATGGTGGCTGATGAGGTTGATAGAATGATGAGTTGATGAAGCTGATGAATCTGCAAAGATTGGGCAGAGATGGGGAGGTGGAGGGTTGCATAACAGCAGCTTCAACGTACTGAAGGTAGAGAGACAGTCATATTTAAGAGAGACAGCAGCAAGATGATAGGCTGACGATGTCCTTGTGTCGTTGTGCTATTGGCTAGAGAGACCAGCTGATCTAGACAGCTGATCATGATTGACAGCCCCGAACAATAACAGCAAGGAAATAATAAGTGCCTGCATGAGGAGTGATGGCAGATGTATGGTAAATAAGCTATGGGCTTAGGCATGCAAGAGTATAGTCTTCCTGTCTGAACTTACGCTAGAGCTTCATTGAATATGATATGTGACATACCATTAAAGAATAAAGTTACCAGCTTGTGAGGTCATGAGGACTATGATGCAAAGACTGGGGTTACAATAGATTAAAATGCAATATATGTAAATAACCTTTATTTAATAAGAAGACCCACACTGAGATTACAACATCTTTAATGGTGAGACCTAGCCAACACAGGGTCAAATAGCAGCATCCAACACATGACAGCACAACAGAATGAGGACACACATCTTTGAACTCTGCCTGTCTTTTTTTTGGGGGGGGGGGGTTGCCATTAAGAGGAGAGGGCGAAGAGTGATGTACTAGAGAGGAAAGGGGAGAGAAAGAGGGAAGGACATTCAGCCAAAGGCCCTAATTGAATTTGAACTAGGGCTGCTCAGGTAAGATTCAGCCTTGGTGCATGGGGTGCACCTTCATTTTTATTTACTTTTTGATCCTACTATGCACCTGAAAAGATTTGTGACTGAATCTATTGTGACACTATTACTGTGACAAATCTGACCGCAGACAGACAAGCAACTGGCTAAGTTCTAAAGACATTTTTTCCATGATTTTACACAAGGTGAAAACAATACCAGCCACACACTAAGGCTGGTATTGAGTACTCAGCCAAGATATAACAGATTATAATATTTAAAAAAATGCTTTCAATGATCTGAAAGATTGTGACCGGAAAGACGTGAATGTAATTTCGAGGTCAGCTATGATTAGCGAAGAGGACAGTGAGCAGCAACGTAGCTGTGAAGCAAAAACTACACCACCAGTTATATGCATATGTGTGTAGAATCTGAGTGAGGTACATTTACGGAGCGAGCACTTTCACTACCACCTGAAAGGTTGCAATGATGACTTGTGTGGCAGCTAACTGCGTGATGCTGTAACATGAATCGTGAAGAGGAATGCTCACATTGAGAAATTCTTACGACTGATTTAGTCATGAGAGTGAGGCGTCTGTCTTTCCGTTGCTGGCCACAAACATGAGAGCTTCCAGTCAGATATCTCACAGGATGCAGATTACATCAAATCTGGAGTAGAGGGAGACCAGAGGCTGAGAACCACTGACCGTGATATCCTTCAAAAGCCCACTGATAAGTCACATCTTCCGAGTAAAAAGAAAAACACCGGCACAACATGGAAGAGAGTTGCTGTCATGCCAACTGAGCATGCTTATTGTTGTTATGTGGTGGTGTAGTAGATGGACCCAAACGCACGCTCACACAGCAGGTTTAGTCCAGCCAAGGACTTTATTATATATTTGCAGATTCAAACAGAAAACAATAAACAAAAAACTACGGCACCGTGTCCAGTGGCCAAAGCCTCTCCTTCGTTCTCCCTGAGTCGGAAGGGAAACTCAACTGAGGAAGGATGATGCAGCCTCCGGAGTCGGGAGGGAAGCTCCACCGAACTCACGGCTGGAAACGGTCCGGGAAGGAAACAAAAGGACGCCAACCGGTGTACTCCGTGGTACTACGCGGGTCGGCCTCTTCGCACAGGTGAATGCCCGGGGATCGACTCTGCGTGGCAGGATGCTGAAGACAGCCAGAAAGGTTAGATATAAATCTTCACTGAAAACGCTGTTCAGACTTACGTGGACTAGAAACAGACTGGTAACCAGACGGACTGACAACGTGCCGGAGGACAGCTGGGGTATTTAAGTCAGTCGGAGATGATCACTGGAATTCCCCACAGCTGAGCCTAAGAAGAGGAGGGAAAAAAACAGAGGAGCACACACTAGGTCAGACAGGGATCCTAACAGTACCTAACAGGACTTGGGAGCGGACGGACGGAGGAACAAACAGACCATTCAGAGGGCCCCCTCCAGGGTCAGGTTGGGTGTGCTGGGCCTCGCGTACCACCCTCTCGATCTCCATGTGACAGCACCGAGCACGTACGAGGCAGGCAGGATGGTGTCGGGAGTAGAGTCTCCCTCTTCCGGGGCAAACTGATGGGAGAGTGCGTCTGGCTTGGTGTTCTTGTGACCCGGCCGATAGGTGATGGTGAAATTGAAACGGGCGAAGAACAAAGCCCAGCGGGCCTGGCGAGAATTGAGGCGTCTCGCCGTGTGGATATACTCCAGATTTCGGTGGTCGGTCCATACGATAAAGGGGAGCACCGATCCCTCCAGCCAGTGCCTCCACTCCTCCAAGGCTAACTTGACAGCCAACAGCTCTCGGTTGCCTACGTCGTAGTTTCTCTCCGCCGGGGAAAGTCTACGGGAGAAGAAAGCACAAGGATGGAGCTTAGAG